TACTACAGGAGTAGCTATACGACACAGTAAGTCGATATAATCGCAGAGTACAACTGGTCATTCATAACTTTTGTAATTTGTAACATTTAATTACACCAAAGTCAAGCGGATTGTTTATAGGATTCTATTATTTTCGACAGTTTCTAGTAACTGAGATGGTTATTTTTGGTGATCTTAATTCTGAACGGAATGTGAACCAGGGTCAAGGGCTAATTTTCACTTATTTTATGATTACCGAATATTTATCTGACAGCACTGTTGTCTTTTAAGCACTTCCCATTTTAGGTCTCGTTGTAAAGTCATTTTGGGTATCATAAGTTTTCTGTTGACGACGAACATAGATTTCGTTATTATGCACATACTTCAGAACGGTAAACCTAGCATGTTAGATTAATGTACCAACTTTGTTTGTCAGTTGCTTTGAAAATTTCAATTTGTTTTCATGTAGTGTTTGTACAACCAAGTTTATACCTTTTGTCCGATGACTGTGGTATAGTGTTGTTAATTTTACTCAGTAGCTACTTTTCGATATAATGTTCTGATGTGCAGTGTGATTTCTAGTCCTTAATCGAATCGGTTGTTTCTATCACTTCAATTAAGGGATATGGTTGCTCATCAAATAATATAGCTTCCAAACACTGGGCTTAGTTTGGTAAGTACATAATTTACCTTCATTTCTCAGTTGGAATTATGTTTGTATGGTAGTTTCTTAGTAATCTTATTCAGCTTACTTTTTTTCTTACCACGTAACGAATGTCTTTGAGAAGTGGTGTCGACTTTACCTAGCTGTTGTATCTTGCGATTGCATTCGAAATATACGCCAAGTATAACTAAGAAAGCGGTCTGCAAACTGCCAAATGAATAGCTTCTGAAGCTTATTTCCTAGTTTTCTGTCATTTTTATTCTCTTTGGTTGTTGGATTCATTGGTTTCTGGAGAAACCCTCATAATAATTATGAATTAAGTATTTATGCAATGATTGGAAGGTTCTGTATCTATTTAGTCCGCAGACACTGATAGTAGTAAGTTTCACACCACATGAATACACCATATTGGCTTGTCACTTTTAAAGTCATAGCTTTGACTTCATCATTGGAGTCAGAAAAAATAAAGCGGTGTTTTGAAACCGGCCCCCAACGTACTTCGTCACTTGGTACTGAGGTTTATTTAGAGTCTCAGTCACACAGTCACATTACTTACTTACTTTCGCCTGTTACTCCCAAAGGAGCATAGGCCGCTGACCAGCATTCTCCAACCCACTCTGTCCTGGGCCTTCATTTCTAGTTCCATCCAATTCTCGTTCATTTCTCTCATGTCTATCTCTATTTAACGGCGTAATGTGTTCTTTGGTCCTCCTCTTTTCCTTTGACCTTCAGGATTCCATGTGAGGGCTTGTCTTGTGACGCAGTTGGGTGCTTTCCTCAATGCGTGTCCTATCCACTTGCAGTGCTTCTTCCTGATTTCTTCCTCCGCTGGGATATGGTTTGTTCTCTCCCATAGTAGGTTGTTGCTAATAGTGTCCGGCCAATGGATCTGAAGTATTTTGAGTAGACAACTGTTAATAAACACCTGTATTTTCTGGATGATGGCTTTCGTAGTTCTCCAGGTTTCTGCCCCATACAGTAGAACTGTCTTGACATTTGTATTGAAAATCCTGACCTTGGTGTTGGTTGACAATTGTTTTGAGTTCCAGATGTTCCTCAGTTGTAAATATGCTGCTCTTGCCTTTCTGATCCGCGCCTTCACATCTGCATCAGATCCGCCCTGTTCATCAACTCCGCCTGGAGTCCCTCCGGGGGCTACTGCCGGTCCCAAGCCCGGATAAAGGAGGAGGGTTGGGCATGGGGTTAGCGTCCCCATCCCGTAGAAAACTAACTCGCTAAAAAACGCTAACACACAGTCACATGGGGGTTGGTAAACATGAAATTATTACCACTTCAGTGATCAGTCATTGTGATTACCAACAGATAGAAAATAATTGAAATCTTAAATATAAATTTTTGTAAGACCGTTCAAATACTAACAAACGTCCGTTCAAATGATTAAGAACGAATTAATTCTTGGATATGAAGTTATATTTGGAAACATTTCAGGAGTTGGGAATAAAAGTAGTTCCAATCTTGTGTTTGGGATCTTAGTTCGAAGTTTCAGAAAACAGTGGAAATTACCACACATGATCATTAACAAAACAATTTTGAAGTGAATATATGTCAAGTAAACAAAAATTCATTTTTTTCATAGAGAGAATGTGAGTCATTTAGTGTGAATGTGGTGTGTATATCATTGCTATTAAGATTTCAGTGGACATGGTAAATCTTTAGGAATAACTAGAGTCGCGTTAGTAACCCGTTACATGATAAAACCAAAAGTAGATATAACTACGACTGTCAAATTATGCGTAAAACGATGATACATGATGGCCCAATTAAGAAGTGGGTATAATTGAGAATAAAAAAACAAATCATTAAAAGTGCATCGCAACTGACGTCTATGCTACTTGATGTACAATGTAGGTCCAAGAATTGAAGACTATGTTTTGGTAATTAATTAACGTTACAATGTAGTCAAACAGACTACATTCTGTGTGTTCTGTTTGTAGTGCCGGTACATATAAGGGCTGGACTACATGGTATTAGTCCAAACTCTAGACTTTTTGATTTTACACCTCTGTTGTCTTTCATGATCTTTTTACAAAGGAAGATAATTATTTACCATAAGTGTGTATAAATACGATCAAATTTGACTCAACACGTATTTTGTCCCAGCCATAAAATTGTTGACCTCGTTTATCGGGTTTCTAGCAACTGTCAGTATTAAATAAGGATGCGTCGACTAGTAATCTAAGCATTTCCTTGAGCCATTACAATCTCCAGGAGTTTGTCGACTCTATGTATGATTTCTTGTATACATTTGAGGTCCAGTTTCTTGGGAACTTAATCAACGTCTTACAGAATGTTCACAATAACCTTTTTTATATTTTGAAGGAAGACTCCTTTGAAGTAATGTGTCGAAAGTTGACAGGAACTTTTTGAACTGAAATAAAATTTTCTTTTAGACGAAGTCATTTACTTTCAATTGCTGCTCGTTTTATAGTAATTGTTAGTAACTGATCTCAGCTTATACACCATGAGACGTGATAGTTTCCTTTGCAGTTTTATATTTCACAGTTAAACGAGTAAATACTCGAGAGTAAATCAACAACGGAGATTTGTACAAGGTTCTGTGCCACCTTGGGTTGAATGACCCATTTTTCTTTTCAATTGTTTATTCCATATTGAGCAAATTTTATCTTACCGGTTAAATACCTGGTTTATGTATGCAGTTTTACAATCTTGATATAATTATTACACAGGATTTGGTGTTCTTAGTAACTCGGGCATCCTGTAATATAGCACTATCACTTTCTGGTTCACTAGGTGGTGGTTACATATCAAATATACGTGTAATATAATTTGTAAATATATACAAGCTTTTTCCTACTCTCCGTATATACTGTAAATACATTCAAATGTTCTTGAGTAATTTAGAAACTAGAATTTGACATATTGTAATTTTAGTAATTGCATTCATGGGTCGATCTTAGGTTAGACCACTATTGAAAACCTGGGAGCACTGGATCGCCGTCCCGTCCATCCATAATCCCTCACGAGGCGCTCAAACCCGAGACCTTTAGTCTCATGCACAATCACTTAACCTCCAGACTATTGAACTGGCATCCAACGATATTAATGTCTAACTTCAATCAATCCATGATCTTTCCTAACCCTTCATTCATTGTCTGATATTGATAATTGTCTCCACTCGACACGGATTGGACTCGACCGATTACGGCTTTTCACTAGAACTCCAAGTAATCCATCTTAATGCTAGTCATCAGTAAGCACATGATTTTGGATTTGTGAAGATTATAGTAATTTCACAGGTTTTCACTAGTGATCTAAATTAGCTTGACTCATGAATTCATTTATTAAAATTACTACAATCTTCCACGAATTCCCATTCTTGATATATTTAATTTATTAATTCACTGTAAACACGTTCAGTCAAAACATGATTCCACATCTCATCAAGTTATTTAGTAGTTGCATTTAGAAATAAAAGAACATGTACATTAATAAACATATTACAATTCATCTATATTTTGGTGAAGTTTTGTTCTCTGAGCTGGATGATTTAGTCGTGGAGCTTTCATCGTTCTACTGAACGACATCATCAGCACAAACTTCAGATAGAAGTGAAGTGTTCGAATTTCTCCATATGTTTTTCACAGCTTGTTCTGTGCAAACCATCCAGCTCAGAGAACAAAACTCCACCAAAATCATCCACCTGAGCTACAAATCTTCTCCACCATCTCAAAATTCATCTATATTTCATATTTATTTTTCTTTTTAGCTAGAGATCTAATTAGTGATGGTCATACTACTAATAATAATAGTAATGGTAATAGAAGACAAACAGAACAGTATTTAGATTATATTCGATGTATGATTGGATGGAGAAATATGTGAGTGGCAGTAGTAGTATTAGTAGTAATTAACTCGTTATCTTGTTTTTATTACTTTGAAAGTACACTCATTTACATCAATGTTATTGATATCATTTTTAAAAATAGTAAGTGAAATCTATTTATCATGTCATATCATATTGTGACATACCTTCTTTGTATGTTTTCATTTGTATTCATTATATTGTTGTTTAGTTGTTTACAATCAAGAATAATGTAGTTAGTTGTGAACGAACCACTTTTTGATGTTTTGTATTGTGAATGTTTACAAAGATAACAACAATAAATTCTTTGTACACTGATGTTTAATCTTGATAAGTGCAGTATATATGCATATTTTATATAAGAAGTACATTAATGGTCTAATGTTAGCAAAAACAATGCACTGCAACTGTATTTAGTGGTTTGTCACTTGGAATCAAATACCTCTTAATCAATTTCTTGTATTTGTTAAAGTTTCAAACTAAGTCTAATTTAGTAATTTTATTCAATCAGTTGTAATCTATAATCTGTTGGCAATAGAGTTGTTGCTTTCTTGATATTGTTCTTATTATATTCTTATTTACAAACGGATCAGTTAAATTAACTGAAGAGAGTTGATTTAGCTAGGAAGTTTACCTTACTGATTGAGTGAACGTTTACTACTCACTGTTGAGTCAGTAGTACAATTCTGAAGTTTGATCTGAATTTATTAGGCATATGTGCCAAAATGTAAAAATTCTGTTATGAAGTGACTTCACTTCTTTTTACAGACCTATGTTTTTCAAATGGATATAGCAACTATCCTACAACCAATTTCGATCATAGTTAATTTTCATTAACCCCTTTTATTAACTTACTTAACAGACAGTATTAATAGAGCAGTTACAATTCGTCTATTTCTTTGCACTACTACGATCTCGAGATCACATGACAAACTCTAGCTAAGATGTTGATTGCTTAAACATCACTCGATGATTCATTCTCTTCCTTATGTATGTATATACTCAAATCCTATTATTAGATTTTGTTTTGCCTTACTGTGCCCTTATGCGATTTGAGTATAAGTTTGCCTCTGTATTTGCTCGCACACATATATCCGCCTCCCTACTTCAAATTCGCTTGATGTGATTGTAGTTTTGTGATCTTCGCTATCCGCTAATAAACTGTAGTTGCCGCTTCTCATTGCAATTTGGTTTCAAACACTGTTGAGATTTATATTACAATGGTTACAAGGATGATAGATTAGAGAAGCAAAGCCACTACATGTAGATTGAATGAAGGATTGTTCTTAAAGTAGGTTTGCATAGTTTTCTCATTTCTGTTCAAAAAAAGTTTATAGTTTGCATACTTTACAAATTGATTGCTTTGTGAATGAAGGCCAACATAAAATGTTATCTATTTTAATTCTGTAACGGTTTTAATGAATTTTGACTTGATGTAAAATTTGAGTCATCAATATCAAAAATGTAGTGAACTCAGTAATGCAATTTGAGTCGAATGACGAGAATGATTTATTCAGGCTGAAAAACCTGTGATAATCAAGATTCACTGCTTAGCTGATCCGTCCTAATTTCCGAATGCCTTATCAATATACACTGAACAATCAACATAAAAACATCTTTTTACCCTTGGGATACCATTGAGCTGTCGGATTGGAATACACTAATTGCTGTTACTCTAGTCTTTTATTGGTGTGTAGAAGAACTCGATCCTTACACAACTTAATTAAGTAGTTTCTATTTGACATCCAGCTTGTTTGGTTTTACAGGTTATGAATTTTTAATAAGATTTCAAGATATATATATATATCTTGAAATCTTATTAAAAATTCGAACAATTTATGATCTCAGTGTGGATAAATAGGGTGATATTCAGTAAGTGACTAGTTCCAAAAGTTTCTGTTAGCAGATGTGTGCAGACGTTATTCACGGATTGATTCAAGTTAGCCATTAAGAAATAGGGAAAGTTGGAAAAATGTCATCCTAGTACATTTAGTCTTGGATTCAAACACCGGGGGTAACATCAATTTTAATCTTTAGGCCACCCAAACAACTCAGTGTCAGAATCTTTATATCACAGTGGCTGATCCCAATTTGAATTCTACCGAATAAAAGAAATTCCATACTTATTATACTCGTTATAAGGCTTAAAAGTCCTGATTTTGATCCTTGGGGGAACTGTCGGTTTACACTGCTACATTATCTCATATTTAAGCAAAGCATCTTAGGAACTATTCTTTTTAGATTATTGGAGAGTAATGTTAGCAAATATAGTCTTTTCATAACGATCTTATTTAGTTCTAAAATATATTCAATAATTTACAACATGATGATTACCTTTCTTTTTAGCATTTATACATGTTTAACATCAAATCAAACATTGGATGAAAGTCATTTATTAGATTTAGCAAAATTTCTACAAAATATGGCTATTTCTACTCAAAGATTATTAGAAGCAAATGTAGACTTGTGTGTATTTTGTCGTAACAACAATGAACCTAAAGAGATGTATACTAGTCATAAAGTGAGTGAAATTATTATTTTCAAGAGTTTTGTTTTTCATTTTGATTACAGAAATAGAACTAGTTACTTTACAAGAAAATACCCAGTTCATTGGTTCTATATTGATTTATCGCTTGAACTATTTCTTTTCTAAAGTAGTCTAAATATTCTGTGTGATATGAAACCTCACCATATATATCGCCTAATCTGTACAGCGTAGATAAATTTGTGTAAATCAAGTTATTATAGTTAACTATATCTGAGAGCTTCTCAATTATGAAATGTATCTTGATGACAGTGGTTGGTTGTATCTGTGTATAATACCTGGATAATAAGAGGTGGGTAATTAGTTATGCATGGTTCATCAATGAGTGACTTTTTCGATAACTGTATATGAGTTAAACAATCATGCCAAACGTTTGAATGAATAATGGTGATAATAGTAGTAATAGTCATTGAAACAGTCAGCCGTAATTGATTTGAATATGTCTAGTTATTTTTAATGAATGATTGTTTAAAAGTTTGTTGAAAAACTACTAGCTAATTAACAGAGATAGAGGTAAATTAATTGATGGTAGCTCAACTAATACTAATTTTCAAAAGCTTCTGCTATAGTCCAGATGAAGTGGTTTTCTACTTGGCCACAAATCGTTACGACCAGGATTAAATTATAGAATTAATTTCAAAACACCTTAGTAATCGTGGTTGAAGTGTTCCATTAGAGTGAGGCTTAACTCTTCATTGCCGTTGCTTGTTGTAGTAACACAGATAAACTTGAGATGATATGTGATGAAGATCTGTAGTAGTTCGCTTCTGAATATCATCACTCATGGATCAACTAAGAACAGGATCAGTTCTTATTCTTGCACATCTAACTGTTATTAGATACTAAACAGATGAAAATTAACTTTTATAGATACCTACTAAGTTCCTTCCAACTCGTCTACGTTTTAATTATTTTGCCTCTTACATATAGCTGGACCCGTAGGGATTTTAAGTAAATCTAATACTATACGTCCAAAAGTAAAACTGCACGATGTAGAATTTCTAAGTGAATGATAAGTCTCGCTAATTGAACGTTGTATTCGGTTCTTAAGCTATTCTCGTAACCCCCAAGCTAGAACCACACAGCGACCCGAACACGAGAGAAAAGGGGCAAAGTATACGATAGGTACTTTACTCCAAACATTCGTTTTAATACAGAAAATATAGGGTTTTTATAATATTTTAGATGTCCTTGGGTTTCCTGAAAATTCTGGAATGCTACCAAACATAGTAGCGGTATAGTAATCAGCCAACGAGAAACTCTTCATGTGACTTCACTTCCTTGATGTTTCTGTCTAGACTTTTAATGAACGCTGATTGGCTAAAATGCCTCTTAGTGTTTTCTAATCCTTTCTCGTCATTTGCGAGAAGCTTTCTGGATCACCCCAACAGTGAGAGCCTTAGGATAATGCAAAATAGTGGTTAGAGGACCTGAGCATTCCATCATTCATTACTCAATATAACTTACATAACTCGTAGCCTTATATCGTCAACTCCCCATTTTTACTGGTTTTCTCTTGTGAGTTGTGACAAGTTAAGTGATATGTTTTTTTGTGCAATGTGTAAACTCGGGTGAAATTGGAAAGAAGCTCTAGACTTAAGTTTTTTAATGTCATTGCTCATCAGCGAGCTGTGCATCTGAAGTCTTAAGGTGATTGGCGCTGCATGACTGGGTCCTAAGTCGCGTCATCATTCAGTGTTGTAATCAGGAGTGTCACACAGGTCAGAACGCAACTTAAATTCACTTTTACCTGATGAGTGAATTGAACGACTTAAAACGAAACAGTCCACCTACAGTATCAAATAACATAGACTGATGAATAATGTTACAACACGATCGATACAGTTTGATCACCATAAAGAATTGGGCAAACATTCTAGTGTCTACCAATATAGAAAAACCAAAACTAGTATTTTTATTCGATGATTTTTAACACGAATCTTGTCGATACTGTTTAGTTTGGATAAGAAGAGTTAATCAGAAAGCTGGCAAATATATAATCTGTTAGATAAATACTCTAATTGAAATCATGAAAAAAACTTCACAAACTTCAGAGTATATCAATCTTGACGTCTTTTTGTAATGGTCACCATTTATGACAATATAAATGTACTATTTCCATTTTCGTGGTTCAATACAGAAGTTGGATTTATTCAACTTCTTTGTTTCGCACCTTATCGTCTTTACATCTTTCCAATGTTACCCTCCCTCCATATTCGCATTTTGAATTGCGAGAATCATAGGAAATTGGGGAAAATTAAGTTCAGTGAGTAGTTGATAGGCTGATTTATAACGGATAATAATCTCAGATAAAATCAGTGCTAAATGTGCGGGGTTATTGTCATGAGGCAAAAGTCATACACCACCATCATATATATCTTAGAATAGTTTGAATAGAAACTGACCAACAAGGTTAAATAGAATCAAGGTTATCAGCGTTTAAATATAATTGAACAATTAGTTATCAGTTTCTAAGTAAAACTTTGATAATTTCAAATAGATTGAGCAGTGGATGGTTTGTAGTGATAAAACAATTTATTTGTAATATCACAATAAATAGGAAGTCTGATTTCTGATGTTTTATGAGTAAGTGTAAATCATATATCAACACAATAGGTGATTAAAACCTATGGTAGTCGTAGTAGTGTAGTGAACGGGAACACAAGTGGAGACAATCGAATGTATTTGAATACGAGATTACAGAATATCTTAGTGAAATCTGAGGACCATTCAGTAAATATTTTATTTGCAAAATGTCAATCAATTGTCTCATACATTAATACTCCTTTATTTCCACACCAATCATTCTCTATTCTTAATCTCTTCGATCTTCGTAACCTTCTACCTCCAGGCATTTCACTTTTGATTGATCATACATACTACTTATATCTGTCGACATCAGTAGCACACCACAGTACTAGTAGTACTTCCTTTAATCGAGTGTTTGTTGGAAAGATCATATACTTTATTTCTTGTCGTTGTTTTCAATCTCGTGACGTACCAAACCAAAAATGCAATTTTGTTACTCTAGTAAATACAAGATATATAAATATATAAGTACACGGACGCTTTGTTCCTATCTATAATCCAGGTTAAAGATCGTTTTGGTCGAGTAACTTGTCCAATTCTACGTAAATTTACTTGTCCATTATGCGGTGCTACTAAAGATCGTGCTCATACAATAAGATATTGTCCGAGATTATTATTAACATATAATAATCGAAATGGTAACAATAGTGGTGGACCAACTTGTCCTATGATTGAAGCTGGTTTGTTGGAACCGATACAGTTCTCTACATCGAATTCAATTTAAGAATGAAATCTACTTAATAATAAAAGGACAATTAAAATGAAATATTTTCCAACCGATTTATGATGATATTTATGATGATATATTGACTATTATTATTATTATTGTTATTATTATTATCGCCATAAATCAATGCTAATAAATTATTCCATGATCAGTTTATAATGGGAACAGGTTGTCTTTCTGCTTAGTCAGTATGATTCACTGTGAGTCAGAGTCTAATGGTTTATTTCTACCTTTTAAAAGAAGAACGTATATCTAGTAAGTCTTAACATCCAAGTTAAATGCAACCTCCTTGGATTACCTCAAGTTATTAAGGTTCAAGGTTTTGCGTAAATTTACCAGATCACTATCATAAGGTAAAAGTATTTAATTCAATGTTTTAGTGCTGATGATTTGTAGAATATTTGATTGGTTCTAGTTTATTGGTTTACATAAACGACCCACAAACCAACAGTGTTGTAAACACACCATGATGTGAAGACACATTATTCTTACTCGGAGGACGTAATGCAGTCAATAACGAAGTTGGATGAACTGGTTTATTGCACAACTCTTTGATTTCCTGAGGAATTAATGGATGTTTTCACTTAACATAAATGTAACTTCCTACATGAACCTGTTCCAACCTGATACCAGTCCCGGAGTATTTACAAAATGCTGTATGCAGGAAGCAACTGCTGTCTATTCACCGTTCTGAAGCATACTCATACAATTCATTTTGTGTATCAAAAGGAAATCGAGTGTATCACGCTACATGAATGTTTGTCGCTTCACACAAACTAGCGAAACCAATTACGTGTATGGTGGGGTTCTTGCCTTTAACTGCTCATCGGCGAATTTACGCTTTATGTCTTGCGATAAGTATTTTCTTCGCAATTTCTGAAAACCACGTACACGCTTGCAATGTGATTCCTTGAACTTATATTCACTTTATTGTGTATTATCCAGGCATATTGCTTATGACCTAGATCAGTCATTCACAACGTAAAGCCTGGTACGTATGTGCATCGGTTAAATTCGCCGTACTCATTGAATACACCGAGGTGAAATTCTCGGGCTAAATCCCAGAGTAGTAGAGGTAGTAACAGTATCAGTGGTAATACAAAATGTTAGGCATCAGAAATATTCGCTAAGAGAATATATATTAGTGAAAGAAAAACAATCTATAAATAATTAAGAATCTGGGAGTTTGGGAAAAGACAATGTGGAAACATCCGCTCCGTTGCAAACGATTTTGAGCCGTGTCACTGAAATTCTAACAATTTGGTTACGATAATCACTCCAACACTAACCAGCTGCTCTTCACCTATCGACATGGCTCAATTCAATTGTCAGTAAATTTATGGACTTGATGCCATGTTTGGGTTTGGCCTCCTCTGTCTACTTACAGTCTACTTCTACACCAGAAAACATTTCCCGTCGAGGTAGGTGTTGGTTTAACATAAGTAACACGTGTCCCAATCACCTCAGTTGATGACTTACTACCTTATCAATCGATTTCCCATCTTACCTAATACCCTACTCCCAGCCCAGACATTTTATGCTCCGTGGTGACGAAATACAAGCAATGCTTCAAATATATCTATGATCGCATACCAGTAGCCTACGGATATTCTCTACTCTTGATGGCTGTTTTACATTCATAAAGTAGGGCGGAGCAAACTGCTACGCAATGAACTTGTACTTTGGTTAGAAGACGGGTATCTCGCCTACACCAAAAGTGACTGAAGTTAAGCAAAAGTCAGTCGAGGCTTTAAAATGTGTACCGGTATTTCGTCTGACATCAGAACTCATGAGACTCCCAAGATAAGTGGAGCGGTTGGTACACACAACTACTTCGGCAGATGACCTAATCTGAAACTTTTCTTACTCCAGATACCAAATTTAGAACCTTGAAGTCCATGTCTCTAGTTGTCTAAATATATCTTCCACCCAACTGTAGGAATTTCGCAGTGTTCGTGATACTGGTTATACATCCTTGTGTGTACGACTAACACAATTCATTGTCTTTATGTTCTTATCAGTTTCATTTCTCGATTAAGAACCTGTACTTGTTGCCGCTGAACACTATCTACTTCCTAACCTTCAATAAAGATCTTACACATTTGTTTGCTTGTGTTAGATTCTTCAGTTTACAAGCGAAAAAAAACGACTATAATATATTACAATATAAATGTTAGGGGGTAAATTAAACATCTGGATCTGTACCCTCGGTATGTTATCGTTAATTTAAAAATAGTCGTTTATAAGTGTCACGAAGATATCATCATTATTTGTTGTTCAGAATCCATTTGGCGACTCCAAAATAATACTATCATTGGTCTCTTGGGGCTTTTTACTTACCGCTACTTATCCAATAAAAAAAGCACAGTCCAGACAGCTAAGATATGAAGTTTTTATTTATCTTGAAAATAAAATGTAGTATGCGTAATGCGGTAAGGGAAACGATTGGATTCATCTGACAAACATACCTGTCTTTAAGGCAACATGTGGAGTTGGTGGTAAATAACTCAACCACAATTGCGGACAGCCATTCCTACCTATCGTGGACTAAACCAAGCAATATTGACCGGGACACATGTTTCTTTAGGTCCTACCATGTCAGTTGAAGGACGGTAAGATTTAAAGTAGTAAGTTAAGGTTCGAAGGCGAAGTTGTACTGCCGACTGTGTAAGGGTGTGGAAGCAGTAAGATGAAAGCTCCATGGCTAAATCATCCAGCTCAGAGAACAAGACTCCAAAATTATCCACCTTAGCTACAAATCTTCACCATCTCAAAATCATGAGGGTAAGGAGTTTTTCCCTCAGACAACCAGCATAGCAGCGATGCTGCCTTACAATGGAGTGAATGGGTATGAAAGGTGGACTCTAGAAATGTGACACCTCACCTTACCCTATGGACTTCCGTTTGGTGGTAAGGAAAACTGAAGTGGGGAGGTAACACTAATGAATTCTCATAAAAGGCCGGACGCTTAGTCCTCGTCTGATCGTTCTGAATCTTGCTCTGACCTCCCTCAACTTAATTCATCTATTCAAGCTATATCGTTTGTATGTAGAAAAGTAATACTGTGGAGCTGCCAAATCTTAAGTTGAACAAGGTTTGAGCTTGTGACTTATTGAGAAGCTGAGCATCGGACCGAAAAATGTGGCTCAGGGTTACGTTTTGTTATACGAAGCAATTTCTCGTAATATTATATCCTTACTCGGTCTAATACGATGTATTTGGATGGACGATCCTAGAATGATTTGTTCACTTACCATATTGACACTAATGCTTTCAATAAGATAGAAGTATATTTCCTAAGTAATGCTTATTGATCACTGTAATTTCACGCGTAGCGATTCCCTTCACATAACCGAAGTCAGAGACCGTCTTCCTAATTACTGATTATGACAATTAAGTTTATTTTTCATTACAACCAACATTTGGAAACTTCAAACAAACAGACAAAACATGCTTGACTAATTTAATTTTATAAAAACACGGGAAACATTTGAATCATTATGAGGTATTAACATACGAAATTTTTATGCATGTCAAACATGTGTGTATAAGGAAAAACTACCGGATAACTCGTATTCTTTAGTTTGGAAACGATTACACATGAAAGGGACAGGAAAAATGGGTAACACAAAATGGTGATGACTGTACAGCGATAAAGCTAATGGCAAATTAATCGATTATTTACGAGTATCTCCCAGTAATCAATGGTAGCAATTATAGTGGATTTACTGGTGGTCGTGGTCAAATCTTTATGAATAAAGGAATATAAACATGAGATGAATGCATGACATGATTGACGTTTTTTTTTTCATGAAACCATTCAGTAACATGTAATCAAGATGCATTCGCAAAGTGATTAACAACAAGAAATGAATGGGTGGGATGAGAGAAATAATTACAAAAACAGTGGAGTGAAAAAGAGTGCTTTATAGTGATTACGATTATTAACAAGTTCTATAGACATATACAGAGAATGTTTATGTACTAAATAGACAAATGTATGTAGTCCCCTCTGAAATAATAAAGCGTGAAATTAATAGTAGTTCTGAAGAACAATAAAATCTGCACAAAGAAATTTAAGGATTGTTTGAGAGATTCAACAAGATCAGAATAATATCATAAGGTGAACATTAGTAGTTATGTTTATAAATAAACACAATATTTAACAATAGCTGCATATACACTCCAATAATAGAGGAATGAATAAAGCATGGGAAAATTACAAAATGTAAGAAATTAGAGGGAAAAGAGAATTTATTCGGAGTGACTGAATACATGAGAGATAAAAAGTGGTATACAATGATCTTGTTGACAACAATAATTTTAAAAACACGTTTGGCTGCCTTTATTACAATTAGATTAATCTTTATTAAGGAAATTTCTGATATAATTGTCAACTTCTTCACCGTCGCTCAGTGGTTCAGTAAAGCTCTACAATAGAAACAAAAATCGTATATATGTGAGATTGGATATAAACGGCATCAGTTCAGAAATGTTTTGTCAGGAATATATCATGGTAAACTAGTTTTAAAATCACCATTGCTTAGCGACCTGTTAAGTAACAAATCGGGACACCAGGTTTTAAGTAAAATGCTATGGTATTAAGTATCAGGATCAAGACTGTCGCTGCCTGCAGTATTAGATGATCGTGGCAAAAACGTTGGAGTTCGGAACGTGGTTCTTGAATGAACCTGAATATTATAAGTTTGGTCATGGATTCATGATCTAGTAACACAACAGGAAGAAGCAAATAGCCAAAGCTTTCTGGTTTTCACCATTATCTAGACCATTTTATTTATTTATTTGAATAAATAAATACTGGTACGAAGGGGCATCAGTCAGTTAGTAACAACGTAGAACTTCGTACGTAAGTACATCAGTTCGAGTTGCCACACCACATTAGCACACAGATGCAGCGGTCGATTCAAATCCCGTAGTGGTAGAGAGCATAAGCAGTAATCAGGAAAATCAGTGTTTGGAGATGTTATTTAAAGGGTATAATACAGTGAAATAAATTTGGAAAGAGAAAAAAAGAGACAAGGAGGAA